CGATCTCGACAAACCATTTCTGTATGTACCTCGCTTTGTGCATGGGGGCATTGTCATGCTAAAACAGGAAAGGGCCTTCCCCAAACTGTAGCTCAGAGTTGGAAGCACAGAATTGTCTAGAATGTTATTGAATGCTGTAGCGTTAGGATTTCCCTTCACTGGAACTGAGGGGCCTAGCCCAAACCATAAAAAACAGCCCCAGACCATTATTCCTCCTCCACCAAAATGTACAGTTGGCACTATGCATTCGGGCAGGTAGCGTTCTCCTGGCATCCGCCAAACACATATTCGTCCGTCGGACTGCCAGATGGTGAAGCGTGATTCATCACTCCAGAGAACGCGTTTCCACTGCTCCAGAGTCCAATGGTGGCGAGCTTTACACCACTCCAGCCAACGCTTGGCATTGCACATGGTGATCTTAGGCTTGTGTGCGGCTGCTCGGTCATGGCAAACGCATTTCATGAAACTCCCGACAAACAATTATTGTGCTGATGTTGCTTCCAAAGGCAGTTTGGAACTCAGTAGTGAGTGTTGCAACCGAGGACAGACGATTTTTAAGCGCTGCGCGCTTCAGCACTCGGCGGTCCCGTTCTGTGAGCTTGTGTGGCCGTTGTTGCTCCTAGACGTTTCCACTTCACAATAAAAGTACTTACAGTTGACCGGGGAAGCTCTAGCAGGCCAGAAATTTGATGAACTGACTTGTTGGAAAGGTGGCATCCTATGACAGTGCCACGTTGAAAGTCACTGAGCTCTTCAGTAAGGCCATTCTACTGACAATGTGTGTCTATGGATATTGCATGGCTGTGTGATCGATTGTATACACCTGTCAGCAACGGTGTGGATGAAATCCACTAATTTGAAGGGGTGTCCACATACTTTTATATATATAGTGTATGTAAACTGATGAAAAAGATTATTGTCAACAGACTGTCCTATTTCCTGGAACACAGAAGTTGTAAGGGATTTTGAGGGTGATGGAGGGTTTGATAGAAGTTAGTAGGGCTCTTTTTGATGTTCTTAGTAGTACAGGATTAGATAGGATTGTTAAGTTTCTCTTAATGCAAAAAAAAAAATAAAAATAGTCTATAAACTGTGATTGACTACACACAGCATGCACCTCTAACGTTTGTTTGTGGACCGCCATAATATTGAAGAAGAAGATGGCCATGATTATAGGTTTGAGATGGGTGGAGGAGGTGATCTGCTCTGATTCGGCTGCAGTGTTGAGTGGTGTGAAGACGGGCAGGTCGGATAGGGGAGACTTGTTTGTGGAGATGATGGTGCTGTTAATGGGACTGGAGAGGATGGGAGTGGTGGTAAGCTTTTGCTGGGTTCCCACCCATGTGGGTGTGGAGGGTAATGAGAAGGCTGATGTGGTGGCTAAGAGTGCTGTGAGGCGAGAGGGGGTAGATATTCAGGTCCCGCTGGGCCGCAGGGAAGTCAAGTCCTTGATCCGGCCAAAGTGCTCAATCTTTGGCAAAGGGAGTGGGATGCTAGTAGTAACGGGAGGCAATTTTATTGTGTGTACCGGTCAGTTAAGGAAGAGGTGGAGAGTATGGGATATAGGAGAGAGGAAGTTGTGTGGAGTAGACACACAGGTTTGAATGCCACATTATGGATGCTAGGGAGACATGAAACAGGTCTGTGTGATGAGTGTTTAGTGGAGGAAACAGTGGCGCGTGTTGATATTTTATGAACTGTATGACGTAGATAGGGAGAGATTGTGTGAAAGGATTAGAGAGGCTGGACGGGGTTGGGGTTTGGGTGGTGTAGTGGGGGGAGGAAAGAGGAGGGAAGTGGTGTCTAGGGCTCTATTTCACTTTCTTAGAAGAACAGGACCAATGAAGAAAATGTTATGTAGGTAGGCTGAGACTGGCCTCACACTCCAGTACAGTAGATGGCGGTGTATGCACCTTAAGTTGGATGCGATCCGCCAACCCAATCAAGAAGAAGAAGAAGAAGATGGTAACAAGTGATGAAGGAGAGCAATGGCAGAAGCAGTGCTTGATTATGTTGGCGCAAGTGAAGATAGAGGAAATGAGTGGAATACTGAAACATCTAAGAATGCAGCTGAAAGAGCTGAAGTTGTAAATCAAGATGATGCCTCATTCCTTGTTGGAGTTGGATTCATGAGCAAGGATTCTTTTTTGGGAAACCCATTTGCGGTCACAAAGATGGTGAAGGATGCAGTGGGAGAAGTGTCAGTCCGAGTGACCAGGAGTGGTATGATGTTGATTTCATTTTATTGCGCAGGTGATTAATTGTACAGGACAAACTAACAAAAAATCGAAGAAACTGGACATCAATGTGAAAGCGTCTAAAAGGTTCTTGGATATTCAGGATTTCACGACTGAAACATTGCAGGGAATACTGTCTGAACATGCTTCCTCCTCTCAGGCCCCAGAACCTGTGTAGGGATCTGAGTACATTTGACTAAGTGAAGGAGTACAATGACTTTTGTTTAGTTTTTTTAGAATAAGATGAGTGTTTTATTTTAATAATTAAAAAATAAAAACATTAGGTGGCGGCAATACACGTTTTGGGATGTAGTCCGTCAATAAAACCTTAAAGAAGAAGAAGAAGAGGAGGAGCCATTCACCAGCAGGATCCAGATAGGTTATAGTTTAAGAAGGTGGACTTTGTGGCCTTTATAGCTATGGTGATTAATGGCACTGCCAAGGTGGAGAGGAAGTCCAGGAGAATAGATATAATAATAGATATTATTGTGGATGCGGCAGAACGATTCCTGGGACTGAAAGACCTCGGCGGAGGAGTTGCCTGGAGTTTTGTCACAAGTCGTACCATCTTCTCAGGCCATAGAACCTGAGAAGGGAGATATGGAGATTTGAAGGATGGAGTTTTTGTGTTTTTATTTTTTGTCAATGTGTAGTTTGCCATTAAACCCACCGAAGAAGAAACATAATAAAGAAGATTGATTTCATCGACTGGGCTTGAGTTTTTAGAAAAATTGAGGGACGTATTGTATCACAAAGAATTTAATGTATAGGCCGTGAATGGCCTCACATTCCAGTATCGTAAGTGGTGGTGTATGCACCTTAAATTGGATGCGATCCACCAACCCAATCCTGAGCTGACGGTGGGAGGAGGAAATGGTTGACTGTGCTTGAATCTGAAACTGTGGCAAGTGAAGTGTGTGATGATGAACGGAACATAGTGACATCAAAGAACGGAACAAAATGAGCAAAAGTTGTAGCAGAAGACAAGGATGCAGTGGGAAAGGTGGATTCAATCAAGGTGACTAGAAGCGGCCTTGTTTTGGTTAATTGTGTTGATGAAGAATAGAAGAAGCGTGCACTGGATCTGGGAAAATTGTCCACGTCAGAAGTAACATGTATTGATCTTCGGAGCAGGGCGCCTGCCAAAGGACTTATAGCTGGAGTCTCGTTGGATATAGATGATGAGTAACTTAGTCAGAAAATTGGTAAATGGAAGGAAGGAGAAAAGCCTGTCAATTATTATTGTTGTTTGAGGAGACTCTACGTGAATATGTGAAGCTTGGATATGTGAGGTATACGGTGAGAGCATTTGTGTCCAAACCATTACAGTGTGGAAATTGTAAAGGATATGGTCACGTGTCAAATGTTTGCAGACGGGAGAAGTATGATATTGAAGAATCTGTGAATGGAAAATGTTGCAACTGTGGACTTCCTTGAGTGCCCTGTTAGGGTGAAGGAGGTTGAGGTGTCAAGGATCAGGGCTGCGCAGCGGATCTCCTATGTGGAGGCGGTGAAGAGAGTCGAAGGGGCAAGAGGCAGCAGTGTTGAAGATATGGCGATGGATACATTGCAACCAGTTGCTAGTGTTTTAAGTCAATCAGGTGATCTGGATACACTCATTGTGAAGAAGGTGGATTTTGTGGCATTTATAGCCACAGTGATTAATTGTACAGCACAAGTGTCTAAGAAGTCCAAGAAGCTGGATGTCATTATATCTGCTGCCAATAAGTCTTTGGGGCTCCAAGACTTTATGGCAGAAGCACTACAAGGACTTCTGTTGCTCGGAAATGTCCCGCCCTCACAGGAGGCTTCTGAGCCTGTGTTGGGACCTGATTAGAATGTGTTATTTTTTTTGTACATAAAAGCAGGTTGATTTTGTTTAGTTATTTTCTCTTTTTTTTGTAGTTTGTATGATATTGTATTTATTTGTACCCAAATGTTTTCCTTTTTTGTGATCCTTATTATCCACCAGCACAGTAGGTAGCGGAATGCACATTTAATTGTTGCAAACGCCATTATACCATAGAAGAAGAACCCAATCCAGAAGAAGAACAAGAACGACGGAAGTGAAGCTAACTTTCTGCGGAAGTCCATGAAAGAAAACAAATCCTTCTATCTGTGTAAATAGGGAGACTGTTCCCGATTTAAAACCGGTGAAGACCTCTCAAACGGTAGCTATTTTCCTTAACAGTTGTCATTATGTCGACATAAACAGCCCCGCCACGAAATACTTCATACACTGTAACATAAAATGTAATAATAACTAGCTTGTTACTATGACTCAACTTCTTAGTAAGCTACCTAGCAGCTAATGTTAGCTACTAACGGTAAACTAGCAAGGAAGGAAGGAAGCAAGCATAGCTAGCTAGCTAATAGTTTAAAGGTCTACTCAGAGTAACGTAATCACGCCCATTTAGCTATGCATAGTAGGCCTGTTTGTTGAATCTTTCTGGGAATTCGATCAATCACGTTAACGTTGATTGTTAAAAAGCGGTTTAATCAAACAGGAAACTGATCTGATGATGTTATCCTACACGAATTCTTGTTTATAATGTAGTTATCTCACAAACAAAACATTTGCATAAAACGTACAGAAAATGCGTGCCTGTTCAGGGTTAGGGTTAGGGTGTCCGTTTTCGTTCAGGGCAAAAACGGACACATTGTAGATTCTAAGTAGTAATGACTGACAAGAAAGAGCAGTAGATTAGATAATACGTGTAGCCTAATTATTTCCTGATTTTCTTTCCTGAATTTGTACCTTAGATGGAGTTCCTGTTTGGGAAGAGGAAGACCCCAGAGGAGATGCTGAGGCAGAACCAGAGGGCACTGAATCGGGCCATGAGAGATCTGGACAGAGAGCGACAAAGACTGGAGCAGCAGGAGAAGAAAATAATAGCTGACATTAAGAAAATGGCCAAACAAGGACAAATGGTGAGAGAATGAGGGCAAAGATAAGGGGCTGTTTAAAAGGGAAAAATACTTCATGCCTTTATGTAAATTGTCATGCATCATTTTCAATTGTCTCACACTCATCCACACCATTCCAGGATGCTGTCAAGATCATGGCGAAGGACTTGGTTCGCACAAGGCACTATGTGAAGAAATTTATTATGATGAGGGCAAATATCCAGGCAGTCAGTTTGAAAATCCAGACTCTGAAGTCAAACAACAGCATGGCACAGGCAATGAAAGGAGTTACCAAAGCCATGGCTACCATGAACAGACAGGTGAGCATCTTTTCATTGTATCATGACATTGATTCCTGTTAAAAACACGATCCAAATCTGTATCAAGAGATAAGAATAACTTGCCAGTAGAACTGTAACACACTTAAAAAGCCTCAAACTTTTGTAGTCATTTTTGTTACCAGTTGAATTGTGCCAATACATTCCATTGGCTCACAACATAATATTCACTTCCCCTACACAGATGAAGTTGCCACAGATTCAGAAGATCATGATGGAGTTTGAACGACAGAGTGAGATCATGGACATGAAAGAGGAGATGATGAATGATGCCATAGATGATGCCATGGGTGATGAGGATGATGAAGAAGAGAGGTAGGGGGTTCATGACAGAAAAATTCCAGCCAAATATAGGTTAACTTTCTGTATTTTGGATGTAAATGGCATGTCATACAAGTGTCCAGGCCTTTTTTTTTTTGCGATTTCACTTGGTTTTGAGAAACTTACCCCACTGGCGATAGACTTCATAATGCTCATTCTGCAGGGTCACAGATAAAACATGAACAAAAACACCCGAATAAACTCAGCAAAAAAAGAAACGTCTTCTCACTGTCAACTGCGTTTCTTTTCAGCAAACTTAACATGTGTAAATATTTGAATGAACATAACAAGATTCAACAACTGAGACATAAACTGAACAAGTTCCACAGACATGTGACTTACAGAAATTGAATAATGTGTCCCTGAACAAAGGGGGGGTCAAAATAGTAACAGTCAGTATTTGGTGTGGCCACCAGCTGCATTAAGTACTGCAGTGCATGTCCTCCTCATGGACTGCACCAGATTTGCCAGTTATTGCTGTGAGATGTTACCCCACTCTTCCACCAAGGCACCTGCAAGTTCCCAGACATTTCTGGGGAGAATTGCCCTACCCTCCGATCCAACAGGTCCCAGATGTGCTCAATGGGATTGAGATCCGGGCTCTTCGCTGGCCATGGCAGAACACTGACATTCCTGTCTTGCAGGAAATCACGCACAGAACGAGCAGTATGGCTGTTGGCATTGTCATGCTGGAGGGTCATGTCAGAATGAGCCTGCAGGAAGGGTACCACATGAGGGAGGAGGATGTCTTCCCTGTAACGCATAGCGTTGAGATTGCCTGCAATGACAACAAGCTCAGTCCGATGATGCTGTGACACACCGCCCCAGACCATGACGGACCCTCCACCTCCAAATCGATCCCGCTCCAGAGTACAGGCCTCGGTGTAACCCTAATTCCTTCAACGATAAACGCGAATCCGACCATCACCCCTGGTGAGACAAAACCGCGACTCGTCAGTGAAGAGCACTTTTTGCCAGTCCTGTCTGGTCCAGCAAAGGTGGGTTTGTGCCCATAGGCAACGTTGTTGCCGGTGATGTCTGGTGAGGACCATCCTTACAACAGGCCTACAAGCCCTCAGTCCAGCCTCTCTCAGCCTATTGCGGACAGTCTGAGCACTGATGGAGGGATTGTGCGTTCCTGGTGTAACTCGGGCAGTTGTTGTTGCCATCCTGTACCGCAGGTGTGAAGTTTGGATGTACCGATCCTGTGCATGCCTAAGGCACGTTCACACAGATGGGCAGAGACCCTGGGCATCTTTCTTTTGTGTTTTTCAGAGTCAGTAGAAAGGCCTCTTTAGTGTACTAAGTTTTCATAACTGTGACCTTAATTGCCTACCGTCTGTAAGCTGTTAGTGTCTTAACGACCGTTCCACAGGTGCATGTTCATTCATTGTTTATGGTTCATTGAACAAGCATGGGAAACAGTGTTTAAACCCTTTACAATGAAGATCTGTGAAGTTATTTGGATTTTTACAAATTATCTTTAAAGACTGGGTCCTGAAAAGGGGACGTTAATTTCTTTGCTGAGTTTATGTCCTATTTGAAAAGGAAACACTATTAGTATAGTGATGCAAGTCTTTAGATGCTGTACACATGAAATTGTGTCATTCCGAACTTTATCCGCAAGGTTATATTCCATTTTTGTTGAACTCGAGTGATAATTTTCTGTGTGCATGCACGGGCTACATGGAGAAGCATTGTTCTAGTCCAACAAAATGGAATATAACTATACTGAGAGCGTTGCCATTTCTAAAAGGACGTATTTGGGTGTTTTATCTGTGCCCCTGCAACTGCAGAACGAGCATGAAGAAATCTATCACTGGTGTGGTAAGTTTCTTAAAACCAAGTGAAATCGCAAAAAAAAGTGTCTGGACACTTCTATAAAATGCTATTTACATCTAAAAGACAGATTTGGTTTAAAAGAAAGTGAAATTGTCCTTTAAATATCAAAAATGAACCTGCACCAACTCAATTTGTATACATCGTTATTTGTGAATGTTATTTTAAACTGTACAATGTATATTTTTGGCATACTTATGTTGGCTGGTAAATCTATGGAAACACTAACGCTCTGTTTAATTTTCAGTGATGCCATTGTGTCCCAAGTGTTGGACGAGCTGGGTCTCAATCTCTCTGACGAACTCTCAAGTAAGGAATAAAGTGAAGTTATTGTGCTTGCAGTTAAAATGTACTTCACTAAAATGCTGTAGTAGTGATGCAGCTGGTCATCTCCATCACGATTCCTATGAATATTGTATGTCTTACTGATTTATTTAAATAATTTTCTGTTCATTTAGATCTGCCATCCACGGGAGGTAGCCTCTCAGTGGCAGGTGGGAAGAAAGCTGAACCCCAGCCAGCCCTGGCAGATGCAGATGCTGACCTGGAGGAGAGACTGAATAACCTCAGGAGAGACTGAGCGTGGAGGAACTGACACACAACAGCACTTTGGCTGCCTGCCGTTAATACAGATACATGTACTCAGCAACTCAGATCTCTGTATCTATACTGAACTAAAATATAAACGCAACGTGTAAAGTGTTGGTCCCATGTTTCATAAGCTGAAATAAAAGATCCCAGACATTTTCCATACGCACAAAAAGCTTATTTCTCTCAAATTTTGTGCACAAATTTTGAGCGTTTCTCCTTTGCCAAGATAATCCATCCACCTGACAGGTGTGGCATATCAAGATGCTGATTAAACAGCATGATCATTACACAGGTGCACCTTGTGCTGGGGGCAATAAAAGGCCACTCTAAGATGTACAAGTATCACTACATTTGTACATTCTCACCTTTCATAGTGGTGTGCCTGAGAGCATACACTACACATTGTCAGATATTATTAACGTCATGATTTAGTAATGGTTTCTTGCTTGCTTTTGATTTACTTTGTATAATTATATTTGTGGGAGTTTGTAGAACCTAGGTTTAGAATTATTAATGGGACTGCGGAGAAGATGCTGTTTATAAACTATATAGTTTTGATTACTGTAACCTCCTTTGTGTGAATTAAATGACATAGGTCATTGGATTATTTATTTTTAATACTCAAGTGGGGTAAAATGTGTGTACAATTTGGCTCATTTTCCTCCATGTCAAATATCCAGAAAGTGGGCACTTACTCGATGGTGCCTGATAAAACTGAAATAGCCTTTCATCCATAAAACTGTAGTCATTGTGAGTTTCTGATAATCAACATATTTATTGAAAGGTTGATTGAGGGTGTGGTTTATATTTGTAAGAAATGTCCTATTTTGCCTTTATTCAATAAACATTTTTCACATTTGACAGATGCTGGAGCTAATCATCTTCCCTCAATACCTAGAAATGTGATAACATTAATTTACATACCCTGCCCGACCCATGTGACTACACAGGGAGCTGACTAACCCCTTCCCCTCTTGACCACAACATTTGGCCAACAAGATCAATCTCATTATAGCAGTGGTAATTATACACTAAGCTCCCATGGTGTAACCTTGCTTGCCTCTACATTTGCATTGCTTACATGCCAATGTTGTTCAAACTCAGGTATCCCAATAGTATAATTCAAGAGGTTTTCAAAAAAATTGTTTGCACTGATGGACATGGCTCATAAAATTACCATTATCAATCAATAACTGAAGACTAGGCTTAATTGTTAATGTGTTTTTAGTTTTATTCCAAAACAAACTTGTCAATTATTGTCAACATACAATCATTATCATAGAACAATAATATTGAATGTAATCAACACTTGAACGTTTAAATAAAAATAAAAGTTTTTCATATTTACGACATTTGTTTCTGAAGACTAATTTCACATAATTTGAAAACCACTGTATTTCGTGGTCTGTAGCGTTGGAGAGGCCATTGTGCCAAAAGTAAAATGTTGAAGCGATAACACGACAGAACACAAGCTTAAATCACCAGGAGCTACAGGTAACTACCAAGATAATAATGGAAACACTTGGAGTAAATGAGGGATACAAAGTACTGTATATTGAAAGCAGGTGCTTCCACACAGGTGTCGTTCCTGAGTTAATTAAGCAATTAACATCCCATCATGCTTAGGGTCATGTATAAAAATTCTGGGCAAGCCATTATTTTAGCTACCATGGATATGCCCCCATAGGATGACAATGCCCCCATCCACAGGGCACGAGTGGTCACTGAATGGTTTGATGAGCATGAAAATGATGTAAACCATATTCTATGGCCATCTAAGTCACCAGATCTAAACCCAATTGAACACTTATGGGAGATTCTGTAGCGGCGCCTGAGACAGCGTTTTCCACCACCATCAACAAAACACCAAATTAGGGAATTTATTGTGGAAGAACAGCGTCGCATCCCCAATAGAGCTCCAGACAGTTGGGCTGCGTTTACACTTGCAGCCCAATTCTAATATTTTTTTCACTAATTGGTATTTTGACCAATCAGACCAGCCCTGAAAAATAGCTGATGTGATTGGTCAAAAGAACAATTAGTATAAAAAGATCACAATTGGGCTGCCTGTGTAAACGCAGCCATATAGAATCTATGCCAAAGTGCATTGATGCTGTTCTGGCTTGTGGTGGCTCAAGGCCTTATTAAGACACGATGTTGGTGTTTACTTTATTTTGGCAGTTACCAAGATTGTTAAATATAGCTAGAATTTAAGGAGAAGGAAAATATCTAGCATTAGGTTTGAGTGCTCTAGATGATTAGGCTAAACTCTATTGAAAACAAAACCCCATGTTTTCTAAACTTCACTGTAGGACTGATGTCTATGTCTCAGTTATCTACTGCAATTAAGCATATTCTGATGTACTGGAAAAACACAAAAAAATCTAAACCTCAAGCAAACTCCTCACGTTAGAGAATGGGCTGGAGACAAGGCAGTTGTCTGAACAAAGCAGTACTTTTTGAATAAAGCAGCCAAAGTGTCATGCTTTCGAAATTCAAACACAGATGTTATTTCTCTTCTCTGAATTGTACTAAGCGGAAAGGATGTTTCATTTACAGCTCTACCATGTTAATAGTTGATATTGTTTGGAACAAATTTGTCATGCAGACTCACATAATAAAAGGATGAAAACAAAACAAAGGAATATACTGTAGAAGATCAAAGGTTCTCAAATTAATTTAACAGCCAATTTTGTCTACCAAGAAGCATTCAAACAAACAACTTGTTTTCATGAAGCAAAGTATGGACAATGCAGAATATCAATAATTTTAGCATCAGAGGATTTTTTCAAATCAAATATTTACTGCATTTGTAATAAAACATACATGCTGAGAAAGGATCAAACACCTTATGTCCACACTTTAGTGCACAATAATAAAACCTTTCGCTTGAAGCGGTGTCCACATAAGGAAATATTATTACAGTAAATACACAAACAGGAAAAATAGTTTACAGTTTCAATCTAAGCAAAACCCAGAGCATGTAAACGCCAATGGTGCTTCCAGCGCACAGGGTTAGTTGTATATTGTACAATTCAAGCACTGCCATTCAGTCAAATCAGAAAACACCACTTCTCTTCTTACCCTTTAGATCACAGTCCCCAAGTTACTAAGTCAGGTGACAACTGTGTAATAATGTAGTAATTATCAAAAGCTACACATTTTTGTGATGATGCCGTAATTAAAGATGACTACGTACATTACACCAAATTCCAAAACATTAGAAAATGTTTGTACTCCCCAAGTATGCTTCACAGAACATGCTTATTACTAAATTGCTACACTAGAGACATACTATGTAACTATTTTGGTTGACCTTATTATCACTTAGCTGTTAGTAAGGGGACTGTTATCTGAGGGGGGGATACAGCTTTTCTTTCATTTTGAGTAGTATGGCCACCAAATTTACCATAGCTAACAAATTTGGTAGCCATTTTCTCAATCTACAGCAGCGCCTTCTCTAGGACAGCTGGCAAGTGACAACACGGAGGACAATGGTTTACTTTTCCACAGACTATTGAGAGCAGTGCATGCTACGCCAGTGACAGCCTAATCCCACAAAAGAAAATAACCTTTCTGGGGAGGCAAGAGGGATCTCTCTTTTGCTTGACACACGCAGATACCACCTCACTTCCGACAGGTACGGTGTGGCGTGTGTTTTTTGGGCACCTCGATGCGGCAGCGGCTTCGCTGCCAAGGCAGGTCAAAGTTCCTACAGAGGAAGACACAATTCAGAAATTCTAATGTTGACTGGAGGAAGCAGGGAAAGGTCACTGGGAAAATCCGACCCCCATAACCTAAAAAGCATTTCACATTTGGTTATCATTCAATTGGCACAACGTGTTAAATAAAGAGTGTCTCGATTGTTGGACTCATTGTATAGAACAATGTCTCAATATGCACACATGCAGACATGTTAATAATAATGACTGTTGGAATGGATAAATGAAAAAAAAAAAAAAAGTATCTAGGAAAATTGTATTGTATAGAGATGTTGTCTTTCTTGTCCAGTTTCTTTAAAGGACTTGCAAAACTACCAGTATATAAATATCCTTATTTGAATGACCATGTCTTCAAAATAGGATTAACGGTTTTTGAATCTACACCAGTTTGCATTCCTATTGCCCTCTTTTGTAAATCATTAGGCCTTTGCCTCATTCTTTGAGAACAGAGGAAGGAATAGGCATCAAAATGGTTGCCTAGGAGTGTTTTGGGTGTAAAATATTCACAGTTTGCTTAAAACTTTAAAGACATACTTGGGGGAAGAATAAATACTTGCATTTTGATGAAAGGTCTTTCTGTGAAACTCGCCCTGGCCCGCCACCTGCACCATGGTACCATCTTGAAAAATAAATTACGCATAGTAATGGTTTACATACCTAACTTATCCCCTAACTCAACTATACAAAGAAATGTCCAGCGACAAGCCTAACAAAAAAGCCTGCTTATATAGTCCTACAAGTGAACCTATAGGCAAATTCAAAACCTGAATAAAATATAAAATTGACAAACAAATAACATCTCTGCATACGAATGGTATATCACACAAACTATCTCCTTTGAATGAAAAAGACACAAAAATGCATAGATGTGTTTGTTTGGACCAAGTGCTTGGAAAAGGGTGCCATGATGTGTGATAGGGTTGTTCCCTGCATGTTGAACTGAACCTACAATGAGCGTTGTAGTTGAGAAAGACTGACAGGACTACTGGTGGATGAAATACAAAATACAAAGACTTACTGTTGAGTGAGCTTCGGCAAAGGCCGGCCAAAGGCTACCACAGGCAGGAAAGGGGTGATGATTATGGACTCAACTGGAGAAGGGAAAGAAGAGTCTCAAAATCAAGACTGTGTCTGCATGCAATGAAAGCATTACTTGTAAAACTTCAGTAACTAAATGACAGTATTAAAGCCATAGCAACTTTATGGTTCTGTAAAAAACAACGGTTCCATGTTTAGACAGCAGATGAAGTGGCCAGTCATACCATCCTCAGTGTCCGGGTAAAACGAGGAGACCTCTGGCTCACTCTCCTGGATCCCCTTCTTCTTGTTCATGCGCTGCTGGAGACGCTGAAACATGCGCTGCTCGCGGATCCGCTGAATGTCCCATCTAAAAAAAAAAAAAAGATTCAGTGAGAGAGGGAGGAGGGATGATGAGAGCAAGGAAAGGATGAAAACGTTAGTGGTTCAATATAATACATAGAGATTGCATTACACGCACAAAAAAGGAGCCGTAGTGAGAGGTTAGAGACTGATCATGAGGCATTGAGGGTAACTCGGATGTCAGAAAACCCATTTGTACCTTTTTCTCCTCTTCTCATCCAGCTCCAGCTTTGCGTGGCGCTTCAAAAAGACACTGTCGTCCAACATCTTGGTAAAACAACACACACACATTGTTGATGGGGTGAAGGACCATTTGAAGGGGTAAATGGTGAGTTGAATATTGTGTGGCATTACAGGCTTTATTTCTGACTCTCAGTTTAATTGTAAAGCCTTTGTGCTCTCCTCTCTCACCTCTGGGATGTCACTGGCAGCCTCCTCATCCAAGGGCTCCATACTGTTTTCCTTCCAGGATGGAACTGGAAGACAGAACAGTGTAAAAAAAAAAGACATAGGACTAATAACGATACTATTTGGATTTCTACATTATTATTCATTGCGAGGCAATACTACACAGCTGAACACTTGGAACGGAACAACCGGCATGTGTGGTGGGTCTACTCACTGGCTACAACCTCCTCTTTCTTCGGGGAAGGGGATGGCTCGCGCTGGGGGGAGGGGGGAGGCTGATGCCAGCGACACAGGTACATCTCAGTAGTCGACATGAAAGGGAGCTCCTCCATCTGATCGGTGCGCTCCGGGTCCTCTTTGCTCGGGTGCAGAGTATCCCTCTCCACCGCTGACCGACCAAACCCCATCTTCTCTGGGGTCTCTTTACTGCGTAGCTCCCTCTGATGTGGAGACCCAGCTCCACACTCTGACTTAGGGGAGGTGAACTTGGAGCCTTTCCCTCCTCGTGACTTCTGGCTTTTCGAGTCCAGGAAGCAAAATTTCCTGCATGAGCAGAGCATATGTATTAGTGAGTGGAAGATAGTTTGACTGAGGAGAAGTGAAAGCAGAGTAATATTTGGGGTCTGTTACCTCTTGAGGCCTTTGCCGCCTCGACTGAAGGGGATTGTCCTGGGGGTGGGAGTCTGTGGGCTGTCACACACTTCTAGATCCCACAGGTCCTCTTTATCTGGGGTCCAGGGCTCTAGTGGCTGAAATAGGCGCTTATCACGTGGGTCCTTCCTCGTCAGCTGCAAGCGACGCTCCATGCGCTCAATACGCGCCAGCAACTATGCATGCAGACATGTTTCTTTAAATGATTTGGTTCTAAACAAATGACAGCGTTACTGTCATCTACAAACAATTAGACACTTTAATATACTGTGCATACCGTCTCCTTGTCTGCTTTCAGCTCATCTATCTCCTTGTCCTTGGACTGCAGCTGTTGTTGCTGTTGTTCAATCAAGTCCAGCTGAAGCAGGAGAATCTGCCGGAGGCAGGTGGCCTGTGTGTGGGGGTTAGCAGGGGTTTTCCTGATGTTCCTCCACTTGCCCTCTGTGCTGAACTCAATGGATGCAGTGTTGACAACTCCTCCAGGGGAGACCCCTCTGGTGCTCTCATCAGTACCAGCATCCTTGGAGTTATTGTTTGAAACCAACTCTTTATTATCCACACCGTCACTCAGAAAGGGTTTACCTTTCATTGGGATTCCCTCACCCCCCATTTGTCTGACAGAGGACGATGGCACCCCTGTGCTTTCCCAATTATCGCCTTGAACCAGTGCCGCTCCTGCTTTATTTTGTGCCGCCACCACTGGGGCCCGAATGATGTATTTCTGGTCTAGGATCTTTGTTTTGCTGAGGAGCTCCCCTCCAGTGTTGTGGATGTCCCCATGTACGTCATGGACATCTATGACAAAGTCACAGGTTTCTCTCTTGATGGTTATGGAGTTCACGACATTTGCATTTCCCACTTGTGATTTGTCAAAGTCAATTCTCTCTGTGTCCAGCTTAAATCCTGCATTAGCAAACAAAGTGGATCTCATAGTCATGGCGAATACAACTCAGGTGTTATTGAACTAACATTACAGAATAACAGCTTATTCTGCAAAGCAGTCAAGTGTCATTGATGCCTATTTCCTGTTTCATTGAGCCTGGATCAGTCTTCCTCCTGTAATAGAAATAAGTGATCATCAGTATTGCAACCAACATTCATTGACAGCTAGGTGGGTCTAAATAAAATGTGCTGTCTAGCAAGTTTGCTAGGCACAATGTTGTTCCATGACTGGCAACCTCACTAGTTACTACAACTGACTGACACATAAAATACTGCACTGCGCCTGACTGCTCGGCACCCTTTCACCAGCTAGTTAACTATCTAAAACTATACAACATTTTAGCTAGTAAGCTAACTGTACAGGACAAACAAGTTAGCTATCCAGTTTCCCAGCATCTAGTTAGCGTCTAACGATTGTTAGCTAGCTAACTAGCTTGTTACGTAGGGTCTATTATTTTACAATTGGATAACAAATATCGTTTGCACACCCTCATGGTCCTGCCAAATGATTTGGTAGTTAGCCGTTTTCACTGAAAACTACAAGGGTGCACGGGGATAGCAGTTAGCTAGAGTGGTTCGTGCTTCTAGCAAGTGCTAACTAGCACTTCGATATTTCCTCCATTTTGGTCCTGCACGCATTGATGAAAAACATAGCGAACAGTATTTCACAGCACTGACTCGCTGCATACGGAAGCGACTTGGAGGAAGTATGTAACACACCCTACTGAAAATAAGTTATAATAAGTTAGCATATAGTTTCACCGATCATGGTATTTTGCGTTATCCCTCATTTTCGTAATATTTCTCAAACTCACCTAGTATGTTCATGTTCCACTCTTGCATACTTGTTTAAAGCGCCCAGAATGGCGCATGCGTAGTTAGGCCAAATTGTCATGTTTTCAGGTTTTGTGAAGAATAAAGTTGCAGAAAAGCATCTGTAGAGGGCATCGATGAGCTGGAAATAGGCTTGGTCCACAGGGTTTTCACCTCCGTCTGTAAATATATATTAGTTTATTGACCTCTGTCAAAGAGCGTCCATATCACAGCAGGCAGCTGAGGCGAGGACGGCTCATAGTAATGGCTGGAACAGAGTCAATGGAATGGAATCAAACACATGGCTGGAACAGAGCCAATGGAAAGGAATCAAACACATGGAAACCATGTATTTGATACATTTTACATTTAAATTTTAGTCATTTAGCAGACACTCTTATCCAGAGCGACTTACAGTTTTAGTGAGTGCATACATTTTTCATACTGATACCATTCCACTAATTCTGCCCCAGCCATTACCAGGAGCCCATCCTCCCCAATATACTGAACAAAAATATATAAAAGCAACATGCAACAAATTAGTTAGTCCCTAATCTATGGATTTCACATGACTGGGCAGGGGCACGGCCATGGTGGGCCTGGGTGGGCATGGCCCACCCACTGGGGAGCCAGGCCCAGCCAATCAGAATGAGTTTTCCCCACAAGAAGGGTTTATTACAGACAGAAATACTCCTCTTCAATTACCAATTTCTCACACCTGTGCTTCTATATCTTTTTACTTTTAATAGCGGAGAATATAAGGGCTCAGTTGACATTTGGCCTGCAAAAAGCAGCTCATGTCCCGTCTGATGCAATTGTATACATGTATGTTTATGCTTCACAATAAAACATATTTGAAACGACATTCAGCCTGCAAGGTAGAGATGAATGGGGAATGTTTTTGTATTTTTTGCTTTCTCTGTGATGCGTATTGTGAGACACAGGTGGGCTTAACCTCGTCACACCTTTAGCAACCTAAAAGGACCATGATGAATAAATAAAAAAAGGTAACAGTTTAGCTCGGACAAATTGAAAACCCTAGTCATTGGCGACTCCATTACCTGCAATATTAGACTTTAAAATAATCATTCAGCGATCATACACTGTTTACCATAGGGCAGGGCTACCAACATAAAGGCTAATCTGAAGAGGGTGCTGGCTAAGGCTAAAACTGGCGAGTGTAGAGAGTATAGGGATATTGTTATCCACGTCGGCACCAACAATGTTAGAATGAAACAGTCAGAGGTCGCCAAGTGCAACATAGCTTCAGCGTGTAAATTAGCTACAAAGATGTGTCGGTATCGAGTAATTGTCTATGGCCCCCTCCCAGTTAGGGGGAGTGATGAGCTCTACAGCAAAGTCTCCCAAAATATAGAATTTGTAGGTAATTGGCCCTCTTTCTCACCAACAAACAGGACCAAGCCTCCATCCTAGCTGGAGGTGTGCTCTCATCTTATCTATCAACATAGACAGGGCTCTAAATCCTCTAGCTCCACAATGAGATAGGGTGCAGGCCAGCCAGCAGGCTGTTAGCCAGACTGACAGCTTAGTGGAGTCTGCCACTAGCACAGTCAGTGTAGTCAGCTCAGCTATCCCCATTGAGACCGTGTCTGTGCCTCGATCTAGGTTGGGGAAAACTAAACATGGCAGTGTTCGCCTTGACAATCTCACTGGAATAAAGACCTCCTGTCATTATTGAAAGAGATTGTGATATCTCACATCTCAAAATAGGGCTACTTAATGTTAGATCCCTCACTTCCAAGGCAGTCATTGTCAATTAACTAATCACTGATCATAATCTTGATGTGATTGGCCTGACTGAAACATGGCTCAAGCCTGATTAATTTACTGTGTTAAATGAGGCCTCTCCTCCTTGATATACTAGTGACCATATCCCCCGCTCATCTCACAAAGGCGGAGGTGTTGCTAACATTTACGACAGCAAATTTCTGCAGCCTACTCAATCACTTTTTATAGCTACTGTTTACAGGCCTCCTGGGCCATATACAGCGTTCCTTACTGAGTTCCTTGAATTCCTATCGGACCTTGTAGTCATGGCAGATAATATTCACATTTTTGGTGACTTCAATATTCACATGGAAAAGTCCACAGACCCACTCCAAAAGGCTTTCGGAGCCATCATCGACTCATTGCCACAGTCATATCCTGGATCTAGTTTTGTCCCGTGGAATAAATATTGTGGATCTAAATGTTTTTCCTCATAATCCTGGACTATCGGACCACTAATTTATTACATTTGCAATCGCAACAAATAATCTGCTCAGACCCCAACCAAGGATCATCAAAAGCCGTGCTATAAATTCTCGGACAACCCAAAGATTCCTAGATGCCCTTCCAGACTCCCTCCACCTACCCAAGGACGTCAGAGTACAAAAATCGGTTAGCCACCTAACTGAGGATCAAAATGTAACCTTGTGTAATACCCTAGATGCAGTCGCACCCCTAAAAACAAAAAAACATTTGTCACAAGAAATTAGCTCCATGGTATACACAAAATACCAGAGCCCTGAAGCAAGCTTCCAGAAAATTGGAACGGAAATGACACTGGAAGTCTTCAAACTAGCTTGGAAAGACAGTACAGTGCAATATCGAAGAGCCCTCACTGCTGCTCGATCACCCTATTTTTCCAACCTAATTGAGGAGATTAAGAACAATCCAAAATGTATTTTTTATACTGTCACAAAGCTAACTAAAAAGCAGCATTCCCCAAGAGAGGATGGCTTTCACTTCAGCAGTGATGAATTCATTAACTTCTTTGACGAAAAGATCCATAGCTCAGTTGTCCTGAGTCTGCACAGGATTGCCAGGACCTAGGATCAATGGAGACACTACATTTTTTAAATCCTGTATTTCTTGACACATTCATGAAAATAGTAATGGCCTCTAAACCTTCAAGCCACATACTGGACCCTATTTCAACTAAACTACAAAATGATCAAATTTCTCCAGTGCTAGCCTCTCTACACTGGCTTCCTGTTAAGGCTAGGGCTGATTTCAAGGTTTTACTGCTAACCTACAAAGCATTATATGGGCTTGCGCCTACCTATCTCTTCCGATTTGGTCCTGCCTCCTTATTGTCCCTAGAATTTCTATGCAAACAGCTGGAGGCAGGGCTTTCTCCTATAGAACTCAATTTTTATGGAATGGTCTGCCTATCCATGTAAGAGACGCAGACGCTGTCTCGACCGTTAAGTCTTTACTGAAGACTCATCTCTTCAGTAGGTCCTATGATTGAGTGTAGTCTGGCCCAGGGGTGCGAAGGTGAACGGCAAGGCACTGGAGCGATGAACTGCCCTTGCTGTCTCTGCCTGGGCGGCTCCCCTCTCTCCACTGGGATTCTCTGCCTCTGACCCTATTACAGGGGCTGAGTCACTGGCTTACTGGTGCTTTCCATGTCGTCCCTAGGAGGGGTGCGTCACTTGAGTGGATTGAGTCACTGAAGTGATCTTCCTGTCCGGTTTTGCGCTCCTCGGGCTTGTGCGGTGGAGGAGATATTTGTGGGCTATACTCAGCATTGTCTCAGGGTAGTAAGTTGGTGGTCTGTTGATATCCTGTGTGGGGGCTGTGCTTTGGCAAAGTGGGTGGGGTTATATCCTGCCTGTTTGGCCCTGTCCAGGGCTATCGTCGGACGGGGCCACAGTGTCCCCTGACCCTCCCCCCTGTCTCAGCCTCCAGTATCTATGCTGCAATCGTCTATGTGCTGGGGGTCTAGGGTCAGTCTGTTATATCTGGTGTAATTCTCCTGTCTTATCTGGTGTCCTGTGTGAATTTAAGTAAGCTCCCTCTAATTCTCTCTCTCTCCCTCTTTCCATCCCCACCTGGAGGACCTGAGCCCTGGGACCATGCCTCAGGATTACCTGACCTGATGACTTCTGGCTGTCCCCAGTCCACCTGATTTTGCTGCTGCTGCTCCAGTTTCAACTGTTCTGCCTGCAGCTATGGAACCCTGACCTGTTCACCGGACGTGCTACCTTGTCCCGGACCTGCTGTTTTCGACTCTCTCCCTCTCGCACCTGCTGTCTTGACCTCTGAATGCTCGGCTATGAAAAGCCAACTGATATTTACTCCTGAGGTACTGACCTCTTGCACCCTCTACAACCACTGTGATTATTATTTGACCCTGCATGTAATCTATGAACGTTTGAACATCTTGAAGAACAATCTGGCCTTAATGGCCATGATTGTCTTATAATCTTCACCCGGCACAGCCAGAAGAGGACTGGCCACCCCTCAGAGCCTGGTTCCGCTCTAGGTTTCTTCCTAGGTTCCTGCCTTTCTAGGGAGTTTTTCCTAGCCACCGTGCTTCTACATGTTTGGGGGTTTAGGCTGGGTTTCTGTATAGCACTTTGTGACATCTGCTGATGTAAAAAGGGCTTTATAAATACATTTGATTGATTGATTGATTGATAGCATATTAACCATTACAACACCATCTTTCATATTTAAGACAAATCATGTTTTTCCATCTCAAGGACCATTTTAGATTTAAATATAGCTGCACGCAACCCTAAACGTGTTACAGCATTGAAAACGTTGACCTTTTACTTAACTTCCTTATCTTGTAGTTTGAGCATTAAGCTGTTCACTTCTCAATTGTTTCCCATCTAGCCCATTAAGATTAGCCTAATAGCCCAGAAAGGTTTACACTGGTCATATTAAGGGTAGTTACCTCTAATCTAGAGAGCGATTTTAACCCCCCTATTATTTTACTCAGCAGAGAAAAACAGACTTAATAGTTCTGAATTTATTAGAAAGCTTGCTTATCAGAAGTATGTGTATGTTATTGTCATTAATTGCCCTAATGGAGTGGAACTTAGGTGTTATTCCTGCTGTTATTCTGGTCACGTCACAAATCACCTCTGAGAAACTGTATAAAAGGACAAAATGTCTTGTAGCACCTCACAAAAAGCTTGCATTTCTCACTGAAGAATCTCCATTCTCAAGGTAAGATACTTTTCAAAATATACCCTCCCAGTATGCTGCTGTTCAAACTATAAATGTCTACTTTATACATAAATGCTTGTGTCTATCTTACTGTATGTGTAATACATGTTTACCTTAAGTGTCTTTGTGTAATAATAAATAGCACAGTTATTTAGAGATGAATCACCCAAAAAAAATCACTTCTGTATTGTAAGTGTAAGACATTTTCCTCAATTCCAGATGTGGCTTTTTTTCTCTTCCTGACTTTCTCTGCCTCTCTCTTCTGTTCTTTCCTCTCCTTGTTTAGTTTTGTCACCATGAAGGTAGCATTGTTTGTACTGGTGCTCCTCTGCGTGGCTGGAATGCTGCATGCTGAGGCCTCAGACCAGTCTGGAGAGAACAGGTAAGATTCCCATCCTGCGTTTGAGATGTCTGATCATTTAATGTTGATGTGGAGTCCCCTGCATTATCTAATATCTCCATTCCTCTCTCATGTTTGTGTTTATGTCTGCTTGTCAGTCTCACAGAAAATAGACAGGGTTTGGGGAGAAGATATGCTGAGTCAACCATTGCCAGTGACATGAGCAAAATCATGGACTCCATGGTGCAGAAGAATTTTGTCAACTTCCTGCTCAACCAGAAGGAGAAAAAGAGCACGTAAGTAAAATTGACCATAGAGTTTGAAATTACTATAATTGCTACAGTTCAGAACTTGATAAATTGCAGAAACTGAGAGCAAATTCAGTCACTGGCAACGACTATAATCAAATATAAAAAACTGTCATAGGTCTAATGTCACTCCGGTGGAAGATCCAGAGGCTCGCCTGTACAACAATCTCCTGAAAAAGCTTGCACTGTGCATCCGCAGCAAGGGACACAGATCCATGTGAGTTCATTCTGTGAAGATATTAACTTCAATATAAATTGTTGCCAAATTATTTGTTGTGTGAAATTGGCTTTATTATAATGTTTTCCAATTTGTTTCCTCACAACAGGACCCATTGATGTTTGAAAGAATATCAGCAAATTACCAACATAGGCGAGACAGTAATGTAAAGAGAATCCTGAAGTCAACCACAACATTATGACAATTTAGAGAAAAATTTATGCTTTTTATTTTGTTATGAATCCAGAATGTCTTACCTTTTTCATCAATAATTGCTGAGGGGAAATAAAATTATTGAACTATTAAACAAAGATTGGCATCACTGGGTAGTAATTTCATCTAGCATTTTGCATGAGATAAACATTTCACAAAAGTAACAAATGAAATGGCAAAACATCATGCACAGTAATATTTTCACAAATGTCAAACATTTTCACAAATGTCACACCTTCAAAAATGGGTTCTACTGGTCATATTGAAAGAATAACATGGTCCTTTGCATTTCTTGAGAAGAGGAGGCTTCATAGACCACTAAATAGGCAACAACTAGAACAGAGTTTGCTACTTGGCTTTATTATAATAATTTTTGTCCAACCAGGGGGGTTGGACAAAAATGGGCCTCTGCTCATTATTCTCTTGTGAGGCTCTAGGTGACAGTATTCAACTCTAGATTAATGTGGTCCTCTGTAGCTCAGCTGGTAGAGCACGGCGCTAGTGTGTTCGATCCCCGGGACCACCCATACACAAAAATGTATGCACGCATGACTGTATGTCGCTTTCTCACACCTGTACAGTAGGGGGCGGTGTATGCACCTAAAAGTTGGATGCGATCCACCAACCAAATTCCAAAGAAGAAGAAGAAGCCATGATGCCCTCGTGACAGTCATGGACTTCTTGCTAGATCGAGTCATATGGGTGAGGTTGGGATCAGAATTGTCAATGCGGTTTGAAGTGGGCAGTGGTACTCCTCAGGGAAGTATGGTTACTCAGGTGTTGTTCACCCTGATGATATATTACATATTTAAGGAGTTGGGACAGGGAATGGGTGTGGCCTTGTATGCTGATGATGGGACTGTATGGAAGAGAGGTGGGAATGTGAAATATATGATGTGGAAGATTGGTCTCTAACATGGGGGTTTAGGAAGTCTGTGGCTAAGTCCTGCTTTATGGTGTTTTCTAGGAGGAAGGTTAAAGATGTTAGGCTGCAAATATAGGGTCAGGATATTGGTAGGGTGTCTGAGTTTAAGTATTTAGGTATGTGGTTTGATAAGAGGCGTACGTGGAAGAGACATGTTGAGTATATTATAATTAAGTATAGGAAGGTGCTGAACCTCATGATGGCAAAGGCAGGTTATGATTGGGGGTTGGATAGACAAACACTGTTGTATATGTACCAGACATTGATCAGGTCATCTTTGGATTATGGGTGCTTTGTATATGGATCGGCAGCCAAAACGGTACTACAGCAGCTGGATAGGATACAGTCAAGGGCCCTGAGATTGTGTGTGGGTGCCTTCAGGACCACACCTGTTGAGGCATTACAGATGGATAGTGGGGAACTGCCACTGAGGATAAGGCGGGGCAAACTTGCATTAGCATACTGGGCGAGGTTGAAAGGGAGTTCAGAAGGACATCCTGTGGTCACAGCAACTGGGGAATGCTGGGAGCGAGGAGGGGGTAAGCAGAGGGCATACGGGTGGACAATCGGGCAGAAGGTGGTAGAATATGGACTGGGGAAGAGAGAGATAGGGCTGGCATTGGGGAACGTTCCTCCTTGGCTGTTTCCAAAACCAAGTGAAGATGTGGACATGATTGAGGGCAGGAGAGAATGGGGTGAGGACGTGAGACGGGGTGTGGAGATACAGTGGGGGAAAAAAAGTATTTAGTCAGCCACCAATTGTGCAAGTTCTCCCACTTAAAAAGATGAGAGAGGCCTGTAATTTACATGATAGGTACACGTCAACTATGACAGACAAAATGAGAAGAAAAAAAATCCAGAAAATCACATTGTAGGATTTTTTATGAATTTATTTGCAAATTATGGTGGAAAATAAGTATTTGGTCAATAACAAAAGTTTCTCAATACTTTGTTGTATACCCTTTGTTGGCAATGACAGAGGTCAAACGTTTTCTGTAAGTCTTCACAAGGTTTTCACACACTGTTGCTGGTATTTTGGCCCATTCCTCCATGCAGATCTCCTCTAGAGCAGTGATGTTTTGGGGCTGTCGCTGGGCAACACAGACTTTCAACTCCCTCCAAAGATTTTCTATGGGGTTGAGATCTGGAGACTGGCTAGGCCACTCCAGGACCTTGAAATGCTTCTTACGAAGCCACTCCTTCGTTGCCCGGGCGGTGTGTTTGGGATCATTGTCATGCTGAAAGACCCAGCCACGTTTCATATTCAATGCCCTTGCTGATGGAAGGAGGTTTTCACTCAAAATCTCACGATACATGGCCCCATTCATTCTTTCCTTTACACGGATCAGTCGTCCTGGTCCCTTTGCAGAAAAACAGCCCCAAAGCATGATGTTTCCAACCCCATGCTTCACAGTAGGTATGGTGTTCTTTGGATGCAACTCAGCATTCTTTGTCCTCCAAACACAACGAATTGAGTTTTTACCATAAAGTTCTATTTTGGTTTCATCTGACCATATGACATTCTCCCAATCCTCTTCTGGATCATCCAAATGCACTCTAGCAAACTTCAGACGGGTCTGGACATGTACTGGCTTAAGCAGGGGGACACGTCTGCCACTGCAGGATTTGAGTCCCTGGCGGCGTAGTGTGTTACTGATGGTAGGCTTTGTTACTTTGGTCCCACCTCTCTGCAGGTCATTCACTAGGTCCCCCTGTGTGGTTCTGGGATTTTTGCTCACCGTTCTTGTGATCATTTTGACCCCACAGGGTGAGATCTTGCGTGGAGCCCCAGATCGAGGGAGATTATCAGTGGTCTTGTATGTCTTCCATTTCCTAATAATTGCTCCAACAGTTGATTTCTTCAAACCAAGCTGCTTACCTATTGCAGATTCAGTCTTTCCAGCCTGGTGCAGGTCTACAATTTTGTTTCTGGTGTCCTTTGACAGCTCTTTGGTCTTGGCCATAGTGGAGTTTGGAGTATGACTGTTTGAGGTTGTGGACAGGTGTCTTTTATACTGATAACAAGTTCAAACAGGTGCCATTAATACAGGTAATGAGTGGAGGACAGAGGAGCCTCTTAAAGAAAAAGTTACAGGTCTGTGAGAGCCAGAAATCTTGCTTGTTTGTAGGTGACCAAATACTTATTTTCCACCATAATTTGCAAATAAATTCATTAAAAATCCTACAATGTGATTTTCTGGATTTTTTTCCTCAATTTGTCTGTCATAGTTGACGTGTACCTATGATGAAAATTACAGGCCTCTCTCATCTTTTTAAGTGGGAGAACTTGCACAATTGGTGGCTGACTAAATACTTTTTTTCCCCACTGTATATATATAGATAATCAGTTTTATTCGTTTTTAAGGATATATACAGACGGTTCAAAGGATCCAGTCAGTGGAAGGGTGGAGGCTGGGATGTATATCCCAGATTTCAATGTTAGCGTATGTAAGCGGTTAACTGATTATGTGTCAATGTATGCAGCAGAGTTGATGGCCATGATTCTAGGTTTGAGATGGGTGGAGGAGGTGAAACCACTCAGAGTGGTGATCTGCTCTGATTCGGCTGCAGTGTTGACTAGTTTGAAGACGGGCAGGTCAGATAGAGGAAACTTGTTTGTGGAGATGACAGTGCTGTTAATGGGATGGGAGTGGTGGTAAGCGTTTCCTGGGTTCCCGCCCATGTGGGTGTGGAGGGTAATGAGAAGACTGATGTGGTGGCTAAGAGTGCTGTGAGGCGAGAGGGGGTAGATATTCAGGTCCCGCTGGGCCGCAAGGAAGTCAAGTCCTTGATCTGGGCAAAGGGGCTTGATCTTTGGCAAAGGGAGTGGGATGCTAGTAGTAACGGGAGGCAATTTTATCGTGTGCAACGTCAGTTAAGGAAGAGGTGGGGAGTATGGGATGTGGGAGAGAGGAAGTTGTGTGGAGTAGACACACAGGTTTGAATGCCACATTATGGATGCTAGGGAGACATGAAACAGGTCTGTGTGATGAGTGTTTAGTGGAATAAACGGTGGAGCATGTGTTGATATTTTGTGACTTGAGTGACATAGATAGGGAGAAATTGTGTAAAAGGGTTAGAAAGGCTGGACAGGGTTGGGGTTTGGGTGGTGTATTTCGGGGGAGGGAAGTGGTGTCTAGGTCTCTATTTCACTTTCTTAGAGGAACAGGACTAATTAACAGAATTTAATGTAGTTAGACTGTGACTGGCCTCACACTCCAGTACAGTAGATGGCGGTGTTTGCACCTTCAAAGTTAAATGCGATCTGCAAATCTAATCCCAAAGAAGAAAAATAAGTTACTTCCGGGTAAAGAAGCCAGGATAGGCAGTTAGCTCTCAAATGTCACAAAGAGTGTGATATTAGTCGATTTCAGAGATGTGTGCATGGAAAGGATTATTGAATAAGTACGGAATGCAAACACCTATCACATGGCTGCAATAGCCAAAAAGCATTTTACGACCTAGCATATTACTTTCACCGTTCAACTGGAAAGTAGCTAGCTAGCTAGCATAACAATAGTAGTGTCATCTTTTTCTAGCTAGTCCTTTTTTGACACCAACCAGATGCATAGGAGAGGAGTAGGTGCAGGAGCTATCGCCAAAAAGAAGCTTGCAGAGGTAATTTGTTTGCCATCATGTAGTCTATAGATGAATGTGCCCATCTACAAAATGTAAATAATCAAGTCATGGCATTGCAGTCATTTTCATTAGAAGCGAGAAATACAAACATCTTAGCCAAAACACTCTATTATTTTCTGTAGGCCAAGTATAAAGAGAGGGGGACAGTTCTAGCTGAGGATCAAATTGTTCAGGTAAGCCCAATAAGTCGTGTGGGTGTGCAAGTGTGTCTACTTTGGAATGCTATTCAATCCATGTAGGTAATCAACCTGCTGCCATTGTAGAAAGCTCTAACCATCATGGTCTTTCAGATGTCAAAACAGCTGGAGACCTTTAAATCTAACCTTGAGGAATTTGCCAGCAAGCACAAACAAGAGATCCGTAAGAGTTCCCAGTTCCGGGTCCAGTTTCAGGAGATGTGTGCCACCATTGGAGTCGACCCACTTGCCTGTGAGGATCACAACTGTGTCTTTTAAATAAGTCGTTTTTTGCTCTAGTAGCCCATTAGATAAGCGCATCCCTTAGTAATTTTTTATGCATGCGGTTCATACATTGTATTTATTCAATGAATTGAAACGCAACCAGTTGAGTGTTTTCTGTGTCCTTGACAGCTGGCAAAGGCTTTTGGTCGGAGATGCTTGGTGTGGGTGACTTCTATTACGAGCTGGGTGTGCAGATCATTGAAGTATGCCTGGCCCTGAAACACAGAAATGGAGGTGAGGCTTCTTTGGAACATAATCAAAGTCATAGCAAAATACTGAATTTGTTATGTGCCTTTCATTTGTGTTTTATCTCTGTTTTAGGACTTATTACCCTGGATGAGCTCCATCATAGAGTGTTGAAGGGAAGGGGGAAATTTGCTCAGGATGTGAGCCAGTGAGTTCCATCAGACAAATATCTGAAATGATCAATTCAATTGTATCTCCTAAGAAATGCAGAAAGTCAACGTTTATGATCATATTTAATACAATAATGCACGCATATTTATTCATCAATTTCATTATGAAGTTGAAATTGTATCTCTATTCTCCGCTCCAGAGATGACTTGGTGCGGGCCATAAAGAAGCTGAAAGCCATGGGGAACGGCTTTGGGATGATTCCTGTTGGAAGCTCTTACCTTGTGCAGTCAGTACCAGCAGAGCTCAACATGGACCACACTGTGGTACTTCAGCTGGCTGAGGTAATCCTTCATTTCACCTCTTGAATCTGTATTGTGTGGCTGCCTGATCAGTTATTAGGCTAAATGACTTGACAAAAATGTCTCAGAATACTGATTGTGAGATTAGAGGGCACTGTTTGATTTTTCTTGTGAGCGATTACCAACATCATGCTTGGGTCCAGAACATGCTACACGGATACTTGCTTTTGCATGAGTCATTTAGAGGACTGCAAATGTGGTGCCAGATGTCATGAATATTTGTTTTTCTGCCAATTTGTAGAAGAAGGGCTACGTTTCAGTGAGTGAGATCAGAGAGTCTCTCAAGTGGGAGCGAGAGCGGGCCTGTCATGTGCTGGTAAGTCTCCTCAGAGGAAATACAAAGCAAAGAGGTTGTTTTGTTTTTATTTTGGCTGTAGAAAGGATGCTACCTAGAAACAGTGTAGGAGGAGGCAGTGTTGTAGTACTCGAGCCCGGTCTTGAGACCACATATTTAGTGTCTTGTCTCTGTGTCGGATACATTTTTACTCGGCCTTGACTCTGTCTCGTCCAATGAGGACTTGTAATTTTTTGCCGAGACCAGCGGAGTGAAAAATTCCTAATTATCAGCTCCCATTCAGTCAGCCCATAAAACCACTTCGCCAGGCCAAATATCCACACTCCTTTCATGACACATAAATATCTTATTTACTCATAACATTCCTGTCCTTTACTATCGTTGAAAAATATCATTAAACTTTGTCGTGCTCGTCAGAATTTCCTTGATTCGGTGGTAGGGAAGAGTGGGGGACATTGTGTGAAATTAGCACGCTCACTATTAGTAAGGGGAGACTTTGGGAAGTTGTAACATATTTTGTCCTATTATCTATTATAGATCTGTCAGGGTTAGCGGCAGGTAGCCTAGTGGTTAAGAGCGTTTGGCCAGTAACCGAAAGGTCGCTGGTTCAGAATCTGCTGTTCTGCCCTTGAGCAGTTATCCCCCAAAAACAACTGCTCCCCGGGCGCCAATTTTTTTTATTTAACCTTTATTTAACCAGGTAAGCCAGTTGAGAACAAGTTCTCATTTACAACTGCGACCTGGCCAAGATAAAGCAAAGCAGTGCAATAAAATCAACAACACAGAGTTATATATGGGGTAAAACAAAACAAAACATAAAGTCAAAAATACCATAGAAAATATATATACAGTGTGTGCAAATGTAGCAAGTTATGGAGGTAAGGCAATAAATAGGCCATAGTGCAAAATAATTACAATTAATATTAACACTGGAATGATAGATGTGCAAGAGATGATGTGCAAATAGAGATACTGGGGTGCAAATGAGCAAAATAAATAACAATATGGGGATGAGGTAGTTGAGTGGGCTAATTTCAGAAGGGCTGTGTACAGGTGCAGTGATCGGTAAGGTGCTCTGACAACTGATGCTTAAAGTTAGTGAGGGAGATAAGTCTCCAGCTTCAGAGATTTTTGCAGTTCGTTCCAGTCATTGGCAGCAGAGAACTGGAAGGAATGGCGGCCAAAGGAGGTGTTGGCTTTGGGGATGATCAGTGAGATAAACCTGCTGGAGCGCATACTACGGGTGGGTGTTGCTATGGTGACCAATGAGCTAAGATAAGGCGGAGATTTGCCTAGCAGTGATTTATAGATGGCCTGGAGCCAGTGGGTTTGGCGACGAATATGTAGTGAGGACCAGCCAACAAGAGCGTACAGGTCACAGTAGTGGGTAGTATATATAAATGGATGGCACTGTGATAGACTACATCCAATTTGCTGTGTAGAGTGTTGGAGGCTATTTTGTAAATTACATCGCCAAAGTCAAGGATCGGTAGGATAGTCAGTTTTACGAGGGCATGTTTAGCAGCATGAGTGAAGGAGGCTTTGTTGCGAAATAGGAAGCCGATTCTAGATTTAACTTTGGATTGGAGATGCTTAATGTGAGTCTGGAAGGAGAGTTTACAGTCTAACCAGACACCTAGGTATTTGTAGTTGTCCACATACTCTAGGTCAGACCCGTCGAGAGTAGTGATTCTAGTCGGGTGGGCGGGTGCCAGCAGCGTTCGATTGAAGAGCATGCATTTAGTTTTACTTGTGTTTAAGAGCAGTTAGAGGCTACAGAAGGAGTGTTGTATGGCGTTGAAGCTCGTTTGGAGGTTTGTTAACACAGTGTCCAATGATGACATGGACGTCGATTTAAAGCAGACCCCCGCACCTCTCAGAGGGGTTGGGTTAAATGCGGAAGACACATTTAGGTTGAAAGTATTCAGTTATGCAACTGGCTAGGTATCACCTTTTCTTTGTCTATTTGCCCTCGGAATGCATTTTTTCACCACTCTGAATGTCTAAAGAATCCATATGTTCTCCTGAAATATGAACACATTTTGAACTCTTATTACGGTGGCGATTTGACACAATTACAACCATGGTCTTGAATTGGACTCGCATTTTTCGGGTCTTTTTCTCGCCCCCCTCCCGGTCTCAGTCTTGACTCTGTCTCTAATTGCTCTGGTCTTGAATCAGTCTGGCTTTATGTGGTCTTGAACACAACACTGGGAGGAGGATATTTTACAGAGGGAAATTGTTAGCTACACTAATTAGGACTGACAAAGGACCATAGAACCATGGTTCTTGATTCAGTTTAGCTCCCCACCTATGGAGCCAGAAACCTGCCGAAAGGTTGAACGTAAGTATCGTTAGGATCGAAAGAAAATCCATACATTTAGGTAGCTAATGTAATGGATTTGTTTGCCAGCGCAAGTCTAGATAGCACTAGCTGTATTATGCCTACAACAGTGAAGTTTCAGTCCGCTAGGTGTATCTCTACAGCATGGGCATATCTCTGGTTGACGTGGACATCCCCATGCATGCACCTTATCAAAATATGACTAATTCAATATTGCACCATCCCATTCTCTGGGCTCTGTCTGCAATCATAACTAGTAGTATATACCAGGAATAATGAAACAGAATAATAATAGATGTTTGGTGAATCTATGAATTATGCATGACCACTCCAGTCTTTGCCACTCAAAATATATTTTACTGAATATGTTCATATTTATTTAATCACTCAAAATCTTGCCAAAGCATATTCTGTAGGAACGGTTAATATGAATTTGTAAATAATTTGACATGATTTATATGAATCGGGTCATGAACATATGGACTTTGAAATGAACAAGGGTGAGGTTAAACGTAGGCTGAATCTGGCATAAGATTATTCTCACACTTTACAATAACTCTGTTGCAGTGGTCTTAGGTAGTCTCCATATAGGCTGTTCCCTCCATCGTGACACTGCTGCCCAGCTGATGAGCTTGTGATCTCCATGCAGCACCACAGCACCATGCGCCTTCGGAAAAGCAGCCTCAGAAGATGCCCTTCTGGAGGCATGCAGCCATAGTCATTATACCCTAATGTAGGCCTATTTGCCTACTAGTCAAATAAACTGCCGAGCACGCATGATGCGTGCAACTCGTCATTCCAACATATTTGAACATTTAATTCATCCTTCATTCAGTTCAGTCTGTATGTCATCCATTCAGTCATTTGTCGGAGTTGCAATAGGAACTAAATCATAGAGAATAGAAGTCTTATCCATTTGTTTATTGAAATCCATGTGTATTCAAAATGATCTAAATTCTCCAAAGTTCTTTTAGCCTATCACTTTAATAATGAAATGTTTAATTTAGGCCTATCCAAATAAAAATAGGCCTTCAACTTGTAGGCATTGCAATTTAGTCTATCATTTTGGGTACTGGTGTCTTGAGGACACATTTTTAAACTCCATTTGTGTTTTATAACTGTTATTATTATAGGACTCCCGTTAAAAAGAGACCCTAGCTCACGGGCCTCTAAATATAGCCTCTAAAAAGTTGAAGCTGCACGTGCAGAGCATCTTCAACTATTTCGCTCAGGACAGGTTATAGCCAAGACTTAATCAATATTTTGTTTTGTCTCATTTATTGATATGGATGTAGCCTCTGCGTGATGGGGTTGTGCTACGCAAATGGCTATATCAAGCCTACATACAGAGTGGAATTCACTAATACAACAGTCAAAATGTCTAATATAAGGCCTACAGTCCATGCTCCCAAATACTGGAAAAGGTGTGAATCATTAGGTTACATGATCACCACACTAGCCCCACGCGGCTATAAAAATGTATTATACATTAAATAACACACAACAGCATGGCATATTTAGATAGCAGAATAGGCCTAGCCTAGCCTAAATCATATTTACTTTCTATTTTGCAGTTCAGGCGGTTATTCTAGACAAGGCTCTTCTGTGTATTTATCATTCTCACACAAGTAATTTGCTGAAGGCCCAAGCCTATACTACGTAATCTACTGTAACATCGTTAATGATTGCAATTCTAAAACAAGCTCTAGACTTTTATTTTGGAAATGACACCGGAAGCTACAAAGCAACTTTGTCTGGGCTAGAGTTGCTTGATTGACTAGCGAACTTCGACTAGCTACATTCAGTTCATGTCCTTTGCAGATGCCACATTACTGACAAAGGTTTGTACGCATAAAAAAGATATGTAACCGAGTAAATGGAGACGTAAAGTAAGAATTGAACGTGTAAATGTTCATTCATAGTCGTAACAAGTTTTGTACGTTTACATATCTATTTTAACGTTTACGTTTCATGCATGGCTTTTCTTACAATCCTAACAATTTACATATGGATTTTCTTACGATCCTATGGATACGTACGTTCAACCTTTTGGCAAGTATCTGGCCCCGTACCCACCATCCTAACATACACACTCCTTGTTGTCCTAGGAAGACCTGTTGAAAGAGGGCTTGGCGTGGTTGGATTCCCAAGCTTCTGGAGAGCCACAGTATTGGCTGCCAGCCCTCTTCTCTGAGCTGACTTCCCGTGATGTCACACCTGAGGAGGCCAATCAGATGACGCCTTAAGAAAAATAGGATTTTTGGTACGTGGGAAGTCAGGGGGGACATTTTGATGAACAATGTGTGCATGTTGGGAATGTCCTGAATTGTAATGGGGTGTATACGCAATTATTAGGCAAGTTGTATGTTTGAGGATTCATTTTATTATTGAACAACTACAGTGCTCTCGGTCAATCCAAAATGTTAATAAATCTCAAACCTTTCTTTGGAGAATATCTGTGTGCACAATTATTGGGCAACTATTAGTGTGCAGAATTATTATGCAACTAAATGAAAAACGAAAAGTTCCCCATCTCACTTGTTTATTTTCGTCTGTTAAAGTGAGAATAATAAACAAACTCAACATTTACAAATAAACATTTCTGACATTTCAACAACAAAAAAAATCTGTGACCAATATAGCCACATTTCTTTTCAATAACAGTCATAAGCCTTCCATCCATCGAGTCAGTCAGTTTTTTGATCTGTTGACGATCAACTTTTTGTGCAGCAGCAACCACAGCCTCCCAGACACTGGTCAGAGAGGTGTACTGTTTAAGAAGGGAACACAAGTTCTCAATAGGGTTTAGGTCAGGTGAGGAAGGAGGCCATGTCATTATTCTTTCATCTTTAAGGCCTTTACTGGCTAGCCACGCAGTGGAGTACTTCGATGCGTGCGATGGAGCATTGTCCTGTATAAAAATCATGGTCTTCTTGAAAGATGCAGACTTTTTCCTATACCACTGCTTGATGAAAGTGTCTTCTAAAAACTGGCAGTAGGTTTGGGAGTTGAGTTTGAGTCCATCTTCAACCCAAAAAGGTCCAACTAACTCATCTTTAATAATACCAGCCCATACCAGTACTCCACCTCCACCTTGCTGGCGTCTGAGTCGAAGTGGAGCTCCGTGCCCGTTACTGATCCAGCCACGGGCCCATCCATCTGGTCCGTCAAGAGTCACTCTCATCTCATCAGTCCATAAAACCTTTGAAATATCTGTCTTCTTGGCCCAGTCTTGACGTTTCAACTTATGTGTCTTGTTCAGTGGTGGTCGGGTTTCAGCCTTCCTTACCTTGGCCATGTCTCTGAGCACTGAACACCTTGTACTTCTGGGCACTCCAGGTAGGTTGCAGTTCTGGAATATGACAGCACTGGAGGATAATGGGTTCCTGGTAGCTTCACGTTTGATTATTCTCAAATCTTTGGCAGTTCATTTGCGTATATTTTTCTCAACACGGTTCTTGCGACCCTGTTGACTAAGTGCAACAAAACTTTTGATGGTTCTGTGATCACGCCCCAAAACTTACAGCTTGGAGTTGGGAAATATGCATAATAATGATGATATGGTCAAAATACTGACTTGCCTAATAATTGTGCACACATTGTATAATTTCAAGGGTAGGTACACATCATCTTGCTTTCCTTCAGTGATTGTGGAGATGAAAACTAGGTTACAAATGTTATGTTTTCTGTGGCAGTTGTCAATCATGGATTTGTTATTCATTTTCATTATATTAAATTACCTTTTATTAAAACATCAGAGTAATTCTTTGTATATTGCAGTTAATGATACAAAACAATGTGTACTTCCATGTTAACACAACTGTGAAGAAAACTTTATTTGTTGCTTCCCACATGAATCCCATTTCAACTGTAACATTATCAGAGGGCATCATTTGACCATTAATCATTTGACTATATTATGCAACAGGTTATGTATACATATTATCAGTAGCTTTAAGGGGAGAAAGTCAGTTTAGTGCAATTATCCAAAGTAAACATAGTTCAGCAGAGATTATAACAGAGTAAACATAGGAAACCATTAAATAGCAACGCAATACATTCCTATCACCCAGCAATGGAGGCAAATCTCTATTCCAAGACCAAAATTAAGAATGGACAGTCTTAAGTGCCATCAAACAAATATCTGATATAGTATGACACATTTCAGGCAAAATCAATTAGCTACGGATTTACCGGACATTTAATTCTTAAACCTTATTTTACCAGGTAAGAGGACATTTACAGTAATGAACAGGGGACTATAAATGTTGGTTTATATATAATGTCCTGGATGGGTTGTTAGCCCATATTTATTTGTCCCCCCCCCCCTCTTACAAAAATAATTAGTAGAGTATCAGCTTTCTTTAATGAGTAGTCAACTCACAGCAACTCTCCGGGTTGTGAGGAAGTGGCATCTCTACACCTCATGGCTGTAGACGTGGTCTTCATATAAAGCCTGCGCCATTCCGTCACAGATAAGGGTGCAGAAGGGGCACACTCTGTGGCTTTGCTCATGCAGCTCCAGCTCATCCTGGGTGATGCCGGGGAAGGATTCATGGCAGTGACGACACTCCAAGGACAACTGTGGGACAGGCACAGGTCTTGAAGTGGTAATAATATTGTATCTTGACTAGATTCAGTTAACTATACTGTAGCACAGAAATGATTGTGGATAGAGCAGTATGAAATCAACCCTTCGATCCCAAATCCCTTGCGTATGTTCTTGTAAATATGTATGCTTTATTAATACCATGTGTACCATAGGAATGACTTTACATACCTCTTCCTCCAGGTTTATAGCAGTGCCTGCAAACAGAATCGTATGTCAGTCATAATTGAACTTGTTATTTTTCAAGGTGTGTCCGTGAGGTGCAAGTGGTGTTCATTTTGGAATATTTTAGAGTAGCTGGAGAATTGGGATTACCTGGGGTTTCATATGGGTTCCCAAAGTGGAGAGAGTCATCCAGTGCATCTTGCTGCTGCTCCTGAGTGGGGGTGGGGTACATTGAAGAGCCATACGGGTTGGGAAGCTGCATGGGCACTTGAGCAGCCTGGACGTCATCAAATTCCTTGCGAAGTCTTTCAATATCTCTTTTGAGATCCTGACAGACGGAATATATTGGAAAAACCCCAAGGTAAGCGAATGTCCCTGATTTTATTGTAAAGTAAATAATTCAATGACTAGTAAATAGTAGCACAATTCAGTCACCTGATTTTCTCTGGACAACTCCTCTTTCTCTACTTTAGCGATCTCTGCCATGTTTTCTTTCTCCTCAATGATTCCGTGTAACTCTGAAAGTTGCATCTGAGAGGAGAAAACAGGCAACTTGTGATCAGCCAAGAGAACAAGGTTAGTGTGTTCTCTGTTTATTTCCTCTCACAGGTCAACTAACTTCATAGAACAAACAACATATTGGTTAGCAAAAATCATATCGCTGGATTGGAAAATTCAATAGTATAAGATATTCTCAAAGCACCTCTAGTTTGCTGCTCTTCTGCTTCATCTGATCAGACGTCATGGCCGTGCTCTCCATGCACTCCTTGACCTCCTTCAGTTCCCTTTCTGCTTGCTCTGCACGTTTGCGGGTATTGTTGGAAGCCTGCAGCTCCTTACGCAACTGTGTCCGAGCCTCCTGCAGCTGGCCAAGAAGGGCTTGGTATTGCACCTGGAGAGACACAAGAAGACTACAGTATTACATTGCACAATGGTGTGTAGGGGGAATGACATGGTTCTTTTAGCAACTTGTTCACGCCTTCAAATCACTGTCCACCATCTGCAGTGGCTGCTGTTCCTGCTCTGACAGGCTTCTGCGTAAGGCCTTGTTCTCAGTCTTCAGGTCCTCTAGATCATGTGTAACACCACACCCTCTGTGCAGCGCTGCAGAAAGCTTCTCCTTCTCTTTCTCACTGCTCTGGAGATCCACCTGGAAAGGGTCATGAGGTTCCATTTATTGTTTTTCTCAAATCATTGAATGAATTGGCCAAAAAGTATTTTAAAGAGTGTACATATGTTACAGGTATTCAATCACATTGATTACTCTGCTGAGTTTGCTGACCTGTAGAAGCTGAATATGATCCTTCAGTCTGTGGGACTCCTGCTCAGATTCTTTGAGCCTTGGGCTCAGCCTATTTACACAGACACAGGGGCATGAGGAACCACATTATGTAAAAAAAAAAGGGATGATATCATGATATGACTGGAAAGGAATTGGACTAGATAGCTATGTCCCCATGCATTGAATGGATTGCTCCAGATAAGATTGACTCACTGTGCCATCTCCACACTTTGGACCTCAACCTTTCCTTTCAACTCCTCTCGCTCCTTCTTCAGCTGTTTGATCTTGATCAACGCTCGTTCATATTTCTCACAAATATTCGTCAGAGACTGCAGTCATTTGTGAAAAGAAATAGGAAGTTACATACATGACAAGGAGACTGAGAAAGTGGGAAAAAATAATAGAAGTAGCATTGAAAAAAGATGTTGATGGTATACATACAGCTGTCACATGTTTTGACACTAAATTCACCAAATATTTTTCATGAATAGGGGTCAGAGACTGGAGCCATTCATGGGAAGAAACAGTTAGAAACAAGACAAGGAGAGAGAGAAAATGGAAAAAATAGGTTATGTTGCAATGAAAAGCATTTATGTTATTCAGCTCTATAGCGTGTAGCCTATAGCTGTCAGATTGGATGCTTTTTTACTGCTACTGAGAATTAGTTGTAGTAGTACTGGTAGTTCTTTAGTATTCCAAAATGGGAAATTGGTTTGCGACAGCTACAGTTGTCAGAGGTTTACATACACCTTAGCCAAATACATTTAAACTCAGTTTTTCACAATTCCTGACATTTTAATCCTAGTAAAAATAGGTCAGTTAGGTCAGTTAGGATCACCACTTTATTTTAAGAATGTGAAATGTCCGAATAATAGTAGAGAGAATGATTTACTTCAGCTTTTATTTCTTTCATCACATTCCCAGTGGGTCAGAAGTATACATACACTCAATTAGTATTTGATAGCATTGCCTTTAAATTGTGGCCACTCCAATACCTTGACTTTGTTGTCCTTAAGCCATTTTGCCACAACTTTGGAAGTATGCTTGGGGTCATTGTCCATTTGGAAAACCCATTTGCGACCAAGCTTTAAATTCCTGACTGATGTCTTGAGATGTTGCTTCAATAAATCCACATAATTTTCCTTCCTCATGATGCCATCTACTTTGTGAAGTGCACCAGTCCCTCCTGCAGCAAAGCACCCCCACAGCATGATGCTGCCACCCCTGTGCTTCACGGTTGGGTTGGTGTTAGTCTCCCGAGTGGTGCAGTGGTCTAAGGCACTGCATTGCAGTGCTAGCTGTGCCACTAGAGATCCTGGTTCGAATCCAGGCTCTGTCGTGGCCGGCCACGACCGGGAGACCCATGGGGCGGCGCACAATTGGCCCAGCATTGTCCAGGGTAGGGGAGGGAATAGCCGGCAGGGATGTAGCTCAGTTGGTAGAGCATGGCGTTTGCAACGCCAGGGTTGTGGGTTCGATTCCCACGGGTGGCCAGGATGAAAAAAAAATCTATGCACTCACTAACTGTAAGTCGCTCTGTATAAGAGCGTCTGCTAAATTACTAAAATGTAAAATGTAAAAATGTGTTCTTTGGCTTGCAAGCGTTCCCCTTTTTCCTCCAAACATAATGATGGTCATTATGGCCAAACAGTTCTATTTTTGTTTCATCAGACCAGAGGACATTTCTCCAAAAAGTACGATCTTTGTCCCCATGTGCAGTTGCAAACCGTAGACTGGCTTTCTTATGGCGGTTTTGGAGCAGTGGCTTCTTCCTTGCTGAGCGTCCTTTCAGGTTATGTCGATATAGGACTCGTTTTACTGTGGATATAGATACTTTTGTACCTGTTTCCTCCAGCATCTTCACAAGGTCCATTGCTGTTGTTCTGGGATTGATTTGCACTTTTTGCACAAAAGTACTTTCATCTCTAGAAGACAGAACGCGTCTCCTTCCTGAGCGGTATGACGGCTGCATGGTCCCCTGGTGTTTATACTTGCGTACTATTGTTTGTACAGATGAACGTGGTACCTTCAGGCATTTGTAAATTGCTCCCAAGGATGAACCAGACTTGTGGAGGTCTACAAATTTTTTTCTGAGGTCTTGGCTGATTTATTTGGATTTTCCCATGATGTCAAGCAGAGAGGCACTGAGTTTGAAGGTAGGCCTTGAAATACATCCACAGGTACACCTCCAATTGACTCAAATGATATCAATTAGCCTATCAGAAGCTTCTAAAGCCATGACATCATTTTCTGGAATTTCCCAAGCTGTTTAAAGGCACAGTCAACTTAGTGTATGTAAACTTCTGACCCACTGGAATTGTGATACAGTGAATTATAAGTGAAATAATCTGTCTGTAAACAATCGTTGGAAAAATTACTTGTCATGCACAAAGTAGATGTCCTAACCGACTTGCCAAAACGATAGTTTGTTAACAAGAAATTTGTGGAGTGGTTGAAAAACGAGTTTTAATGACTCCAACCTAAGTGTATGTAAACTTCCGACTTCAACTGTACCTCCTGTCCTCTCTGTGATTCATCCATTGATTTGGCATTCTGTGTCAGTTCTTCATGCTCTCTAGTATTATGTTGCTGTTGTTCCAGTTTGCTCACTAACTGTACCAGTTCCTCTTTGGATTCCTACATAAACAATATACAATTCATAACCCTCTCAACCTGATTAGGGGCTAGAAAGACAAACGACTTGGAAACAAGCCTTAAGGTGGTCAACCTCTTGCTGTTGCTCCTTTAGGGCAGAACATTTCTTCTCTTTCTCACTGCTCTGGAGATCCACCTGGAAATGTTATAAAAATCCATGATTTGGATTTTCTGAGTTTCACATTTTAAAATGCTGTGTGTTATAGGCATTTGTTCACTTTATATTACTTTGCTGGATGTGCAGACCTGTAAAAGCTGAATGTGAGCCTTCAGTCTGTGTGACTCTCGCTCAGATTCTTTGAGCCTTGGGCTCAGCCTGTATACACAGGAGCATAGGGGACCACATCAAGTGACACAATTGTCAAAACATTCCTAAACCAGATGACATCATGAGAAAATATTTGATTTTAATCACTGGAGCGGTATTCTGAAGGGGAGACTATGTTCCCATGCATTGAATGGATTGCTCCAGACAAGATTGACTCACTGTGCCATCTCCACACTTTGGACCTCAACCTTTCCTCTTAACTCCTCTCGCTCTTTCTTTAGCTGTTTGATCTTGATCAACGCTCTTTCATATTTCTCACAAATAGGGGTCAGAGACTGCAGCCATTCATGAAAAGAAATAGCAAGTTAGACAAGACCAGACTGAAATGAGGAAAACTAGTAGAAGTAGCATTGAAAAATATTGATTGTATACATACAGCTGTCACATGTTTTGACACTAAATTCCCCAAATATTTTTCATGAATGGGGGTCAGAGACTGCAGCCATTCATGGAAAGAAACAGTTAGAAACAAGACAAGGAGACAGAGAAACAAGACATGAATTCAGAGAAAGTGGAAAAAGAGGTTATGATACAATGAAAAGCATTGATGGTTTTTTAGATGTATAGTGCATAGCCTACAGCTGTCAGATCAGATCATTTGTTACCACTGAGATACAAAATTCACTCAATAGTAATAGAAGTAGTATTAGTAGTTCTTTAGTAGTCCCAAATGGGAAATTGGTTTGTGACAGTTACCTTCTGTCCTCTCTGTGATTCATCCATTGATTTGGCATTCTGTGTCAGTTCTTCATGCTCTCTAGTATTCTGTTGCTGTTGCTCCAGTTTGCTCACTAACTGTACCAGTTTCTCTGTCGATTCCTACAGAAACAATATACAATTCATAACCCTCTCAACCTGATTAGGGGCCAGAAGTAAGAATGCTTGTGGAAAGAATAGACTTGCAAACAAACCTTGAGGCGGTCAACCTCTTGCAGCTGATCCTTTAAGGCACATGTCAGAGTCTCATTTTGTTCTTTCAGTTGCCCCAACTCCATGGTCAGCTCTTCTTTCTCCCTCTCACTTTGCTCCACCTGTTCCTAGATTCAGAGATGCTTAAATCATGTCCATAACCTCTTAAATTGTTTGGATAGTTCCATTGTCTTACCCATTCACCCTCTGAATGGCACACATACACAATCCATGTCTAAAGGCTTCAAAATCCTTCTTTAACCTGTCTCCTTCCCTTCATCTATACTGATTGAAGTGGATTTAACAGGTGACATCAATAAGGGATCATAGCTTTCACCTGGTCAGTCTGTCATGGAAAGAGCAGGTGTTCCTAATGTTTTGTACACTCAGTGTAGTTCCACCCAAGACAAGTTATGTTCAAAAGCATTGATGTTTCAATATGTTGTTTCTTAGTTGTCAGATGGTTTGTGATAACTGTGTTATAGACACAAAATTGACCAAATATTACCTCCTGCCCTCTGTGTGAGTCATCCATTGGTTTAGCGTTCTGTGTCAGTTCTTCATGCTTTCTTGCATTCTGCTGCTTCTCCATGTTCCCGTCTGCCTGGTATAGTTCCTCTTTTGACAGCTGCAGAAATAATGTTACAATTCTGTTACCTCACATTTGTATTCACACACTTGACTAGGGGCTAGAAATGACCAGCTGTTGGAACAAATAACTTGAAAACAAACCTTGAGGTGATCAATCTCTTGCTGTTGCTCTTTCAGGGCACTTCTCAGAGTGTCATTTTGCTCTTTCAGTTGCCCCAACTCCATGACCAGCTCTTCTTTCTCCCTCTCACGTTGCTCTACCATTTCCTAGATTCAGAAATGCAAATAATGTACGTACATAACCTCTCCTACGGATAATTTTAGCTAAAATGTTTTTGTGAGGAACATCATCACCTTGAACCAGCCACTAAGCAAGCCAAACAGAGAGTGCTGCATTTTTAAGAAAAGTATTTCAAGCATGGTCTTCAAAACACAATCAATGTTAGAAATGGTGGATTGTATTGTACCTGAGTTGTGATCACCAAGAGGTCGTTTTCAAGACTGCAGTCTGTGCTTTGTTCCCCTGGGGTTTTAAAGCAGAAGGGGGTGCTGGCTCCTCTCACTTGGCCATTGCTATCAACATAGCAGAACTGATAGAACTCTGCGTTATCCTTTGGCAAGTAGTATGCTATCAGAATCACAATATAATTGTCAGTGTAATCCCCAGAATAATATTGATCACTTTAATATCAAATAAAAATTTAAAGTTAATACCCTACAGGTATCATCAATAAAAAGTAACCTACACTGAACAAAAATATAAACGCAACATGTAAAGTGTTGGTCATGAGCTGAAATAAAATATCCCAAAAATGTTCCATGTGCACAAAAAGCTTATTTCTCTAAAATGTTGTGCACAAATTTGTTTACATCCCTGTTAGTGAGTTTTTCTCCTTTGCCAAGATAACAACCGCGGACCACGTGTATGACGTCATGTGTGCGAGCAGTTTGCTGATGTCAACGTTGTGAACAGAGTGCCCCGTGGGGGTGGGGTTATGGTATGGGCAGGCATAAGCTACGGACATTAAACACAATTGCATTTTATCGATGGCAATTTGAATGCACAGAGATACCGTGATGAGATCCTGAGGACCATTGTCATGCCATTTCAGCATGATAATGCACGGCCTCATGTCGCAAGGATCTGTACACAATTCCTGGAAGCTGAAAATGTCCCAGTTCTTCCTTGGCCTGCATACTCACCAGAAATGTCACCCATTTGAGCATGTTTGGGATGCTCTGGATCAACGTGTACAACAGCGTGTTCCAGGTCCCACCATTATCCAGCAACTTCGCACAGCCATTGAAGAGGAGTGTCAACATTCCACAGGCCACAATCAACAGCCTGATCAACTCTATGCAAAGGAGATGTGTCACTCTTTATGAGGCAAATGGTGGTCACACCAGATACTGACTGGTTTTCTGATCCACGCCCCTACCTTTTTTTTTTTTTTTAAGGTATCTGTCATCAACAGATGCAGATCTGTATTCCCAGTCATGTTACTTCCATAGATTAGGGCCTAATGAATTTATTTCAATTGACTGATTTCCTTATGAACTGTAACTCAGTAAAATCTTTGAAATTGTTGCATGTTGTGTTTATATTTTTGTTCAGTATAAATTGATCACAATAATTCATATCAAAGTTCATGTCAGTTGAAAAGTTTGAGGATAAAGTCCACACATGGTCTTACCAGTAAAAAACACTTGTTTTCTGACTGGCTCCTGTCCTATCAGATCCAATGATGGTTCTACCCACACAAATGTGTGATAATCCTTTGTGGTGCTCCAGCCCACCTGCACAATGATACACCAGTTATAACACATTTATGACTGACAACATATAGGGAGGCATTCCAGACTGGATATTTATTGTTTAATATAGGTTATTTACTTTGTGGATTAAACAGATCACTCATGAACAATGTTCCCTCTTAACTGCACAGCTCCCCGGTACTGCCGTGCAGAAGAAATATCAGCAGATGCACAGAAGAACTTCACTCAACTTTCTAGAGTTTTCCCCCTTAGTTAACACTATCAATGTTTCCCTTTCCTGTGGGAATTGTGATCAAATCAACGTAATATCAGTCACTTTCAATGCAACATACCGAAACAAAACCAATTATGCAAGAGATTTTGTTGTAGGCAGAACACATCGGAGTAGGATTTTATTGCATTGACACTCACGACTCAGCCGTACTCTACACAGACCGGTATGGCATAACCAAACAGAGCTGCAGTAGGACTATATGCAAATAGACCATTGCCATACATGGATCTGTGCCATTGACTTTGAACTGGACTGTGTTTACAGCATGAGTGGTCGTGAGTAGATGTGCTTGTTTTGAGATCAAAGCGAGAGCTTCATGTAGCCACGTGTGCGCATTTGTTCATATCCTTTGCTAGTTAGTTAGTTATTAGCCCAGTTATAGATACTTTGTAGTCAGCAATGGGGGAGTGATTTGCTTCCTAAAAGAGCACAAAACGTGTACATTTCTAGACATCTTTGAAAAGCAAGTCTGGTAAAGAGCTTTTTTTTTGTCTTAAAGGGGCAGTGTTGTATTCTGAGACAGGCTTGAATAAGATAAGTAGCCAATAGGCAGAGGGTAGCATAATTAGTCTGATTCTCTGTGATAATGGTATGGGAATAATAATGCATTCTATTTTGTAAAGTGGTTTCTTGCATCAAACAACACATTTTCTGTCACCTCCTTGTCTGAAGGACAAGTGGATAAACAGGTTAATGTCAAGCCCTGCATGTTATTTTTTAAAGTAATGGAATGTAGGCCTACATTGAACACCACACATTGACTGCTATTGTAGGATGAATGCTAGAACATGGATTTCCATGTTAAAATGTTATGGGAGGTATTTTATCCATTGTTTTTGATGATAGGCCACTAGTAGGCCTACATTAGGATCAAATAGCCACAGTAGCCTACTTGCCCACTGTCTGAAACTAACTTAAAGCGGGTACAGCCTCAGTGTTCACAGTAAACACGAGCAGGAAGTTGCACAGATATTTCACAACATTCAAGTTTGCACTCAGCAGACATGACATTTGCTCAATGCCGACATTTTTTTGAGGAAACATTGCTAATGAATATTCATGACAAAACAGTGTATAATCTCACCTTGAATATCCCCACCCAGTCTCTGGGATTCGGTTGGATGGCTGCTGTCAGAGTGTAGCAGCAAGTCAAGGCAACATTTGATGCATATGAGTTGGGGATTTCCTGAAACAGAACCTGGGAAAAGTTTGTTGACAATTCCATTTTGGCTGCAGTTTCGAGGCTCTCCATTCTGAGTTCTGAAATTGAGAATATAACAAAATGAAAACACATAGGCCAAACATGAGCATAAAACATTTAATGGTTTAAAACTAACAGCAGGTGCAACTTCCATAAACCATAATTTATTTTGTCAATTTAACCCTTATGTATCTTCTCTGGCAGCACACATTGTCGATGGGTCGGTTGTTTATTAGAAGGCCAACAATTTTATATCACATAGAAATTGCATTACACTATTGCGTTGTTTGCAAAACTTAAGTTTCACTTTCATTTAAAATATGTTGTGCAATGTTTATGCTTCCCACCAGACCCTCATATTTAACATAGACCTACTGTTTTCAGAATTATTTGTATTTGATTGTCAAACAATCTAACCCAATAGATTATTCGAGATTGTTTTATTATGTTTGATCAAGCCATAACAAACCATACAAGGCCACAAATAAAACACAGGAGAAAACGAATGTGAAAGTAAACGCAATTCTGTCATTATTACGATCACATTTGTAATGCTGTTTAACAAAAAACATAAGACATTAAATGGTTGAACTTACATGAAGTTTGGACTGCCACTGCTTGTTCAACTCAGCGGTGTCGCAACCATAGATTGTGTATATATAAAGATCGCAAGTCAGACGTCAACTCAGAATACTGTCCGATGTATTCATTTCAATTGCGCACAAACATCATCAACCGTAGGGCTATTTGGGAAATGCAGTCTCTCAGGGCGTTGGCCACGACCAATCAGAAGTGAAGTTTGGAGTTTAAAGGGCCAGTCTACTGTCAGCTAGGCTTATACTTAATTTCCCTTTTATCTAGACAATGGAACAAAAATATTCAAAGTGATCAGTAACCTAGATTACTAGCCTAATCATAATAAGATTTCGCAATCTTGTTAGCTTGTATCAAATAGGCCTGAAGATGAAAATAAATGCCACTAGATAATGCCAAAAACAAAACAAAATGTCTGTAACAGTTACATTGTATTATGCTCTGTTACACATGAAAAGGGATATTGTTACAACAACCCGTTTTGATCTTTTTAGGATGCCTATTTTATGGAACTCAACAGTAGACTGACAGATGGGGAGATTTCACAATATGAAATTGGAGATAGCCTCTTCCCTCATTAAAGTGGGATATTGACCTGTCCCCATTTATTAAAGGGTTGGTCTTATGTTGTGACTGTGTGGATATTGCTGATGTCAATTAGTGGCATGTCACTAGTCAATATAGCACTATCCAATAGGAAAGGGCTTCAGGTAGCCTTGGTTTTGGACTGTTTCTGTTTTCAACAATGACAATTCAGCTGAAGCAAAAACACACTGTCACCCAGGATAGATAAAAGGATGGGGGATAATCATAATTAACTTTCAAATCCCTGCACCTGCTGTAGCGCACTCAGATATGTGTATGTAGCATGCAGCCAACAGGCTTCTCCTCAGTTAATCCGTTTTCTGGGGAAACGAACAACAGTGTTTCATATAGATGTGTTGGTTGAATTATGCAACAATCTCCTGTGTTTGCCAGAATACTTGGTCAAGCTGGTGTGATTGAAGGTGCAAAATGCTTCCTTCCATTGGCAAACAATAGCAGATGAAAAAAGGGCCATAGAGGATGACAACCAATGGAAATCTAAAAGGCATACAATAGGTAGAACTTTGCAATAGCAGAAGCAGACAACATGCCATAACATAATCACTGGCGACACATTGGTGCTGCTATTCCGGTAACACTAGCCCACTGCTCTCCTTCCGCTTCCCTGGCTCCCTTGGTTCAGTGGACAAAAGGAGATTACCTGCTGGTCACTGTATCAGATAGGTGTGACTCACGTGTAGCCTAGTTGAACAGGCAGCAGCTCCCCAATGTATTAACCAGCTTAAAACACACTGCGTAAACCCTAACCTTTCTGATGCTAGCCAGGATAGTCTAGTATTAGACACAGGAGGCGCATTGAAATGCACTTTGCAC